ATCTTGCATTTCATTCTTCTCTCTCTCTCTCACACACACACACACACACACCCCTAAAGTAGACAGCAAAATCCAAGCACCCCCAAACATAGCCAACACAGAATAAACCCTCCCTTTTGTGTCTGGATGGAATTTCTCCCCTTATGTGTGAGTCTGTTGTCTTTGTATTAGATGGTAAGTGCCCGGTGGGCGGGGACCCTGTCATTCTGGATTAAGTCTCCCATAGGCTTAGTGAGTCACCACAAGCCAGGGAGTGCTTATGAGACATTACTTGACTGACTGTTAAGACAAGTAATTAGGCTGGGAGAAACGCTAATTTTAAAATGTCTGTAAATTCCTGAACTTCACACGAGGAAAGTCCAGTGACCTGGGTTAGCTCTTGAGAATTAGTAATGCTATACAGAATCTTTTCCCTTTGTATCACCTGTGACAATTTGGCCTCCCTTTTTTGTGACTGGAAATTATTACTAGCGGATAGCTCTACGCAGCCTGGTATCTACAACTAGAGTGACGTGGAAGATCTTGGTGACATGGGGAGGTAACAACCTCCATTCATCAGTGTTCCTGGATTGTTCAGACAATTCAGGTTGCTCCATGAAGGCCTGTGAACCCATTTTGATGGATAAGCATTGTGGTAGTTTATAAACTTGAATTTGAGGGCAAACAATTTTTTCTTTTATCTAAGGCAAGGTCTACAATGGTCTATTTTTCTTTTTACTGCTGTTATAAAAAGATGTATTTTGATAAGATAGTCTTGTAATAGAAAAACACCTATTTGAGGAGAGAAGAGGCCGAACATTGTTTAGAATGACAATATAGATCCTGAGGGAGCCGGAGTCTCCCACATCACATGATATAGCTCACAGGAAATTTCAGCAACCACACTGTGCCTTTTGGCTACCTTAAAATGGTGTCAGGTGTTTTAGTTACAAAAAACCAAAAAGACAAAAGAAAAAAAAAACTAAAAAATGGAAGTGTATATTACTGGGCTCCCCGTAAAACAAAGGAACAACAACTTTACTAACTGTACTTAAATAGGGATGCTGTGGTACCATGGAAAAATGAATGGATTTGGAATTAGAAGAGCTCATCTGCAAACTAGCTCAACTATCCTAGCTGGGTAATTTGGTCAGTCTGAGCCTCTGTCTTCACCTACACAAATGGAAACAGGAATATGTGCTTGGAAAGCTGGTTGAATAATATATATATAGATGCACTTGCCCTCTACCACTACACACCTTTAGAAGTTAAACCTTTATTCTTTTCCCTTTGAATAAGACTTCTCTTGGTGACTTGCTTCCACTGAATGAAGTAAGGAGGGAGAAAAATTGTAATTTACAATGTGAAAAATTGGCAAATATTACCTTACCTAAGTGATCAAGGTCAACATCCCAAGTGATAAGTGATGCTGATGGTACATGTCCTCTGAGATTCTGTAATGAAATGGACACTTCGCCTCTGTGATTTTCTTCCCTCAAAACACATAACCTAATCTAACCGTGAGTAAACACTGGACAAACACAATTGAGGGACATTCTATAAAACACCTGAGCCAGACTTTTCAAAATTGCCAAATCATGAAGAACAAGGAAAGATTAGAAACTGTCACAGTCTGCATGAGACTAAAGAGACATGACAAGTAAATGTAATGTGGGGTTCTGAATTGGACTCTAGATCAGGAAAAGAATATTAGTAGCAAAATTGAAATCTGAGTAAACTGTGTAGTTTAGTGAACAGCGTTGTACTGATGCTAATTTCTTAGTCTTGGCAAATGTACTTTAGTTATTTATGTAAGATATTAACATTAGGGAAGCCAGGTAAATTGCCAGGATAAGAGAACTCTCTGTGCTATCTTGGCAACTTTTCTGTAAATCTAAAGTTATTCAAAAGTCAAATAAGAAACAAAAAGGTGATTATGACAACTGAGATCATGTACAAAACAGGACTTTGCAGATGCACAGGACTATAAAAATATAAGTAGTATCTTAAAAAAAATCAGAGTATCTACACTTTGACCTTAGAAAACTTAGGTGATCCACAAGGACAATCGATGATATATTGATAGTCAAGTCCTGGACTAATAAATAGTAGGTAGTTTCTCTTCTTTCCCCCTTTAGCCTATGAAGTAAGTTAGTTTGGGGTTGAAGATGACCAGTATCTCTGGAGTGACAAGAATTATGAGGAAGAATTCAACTATTATCTGTTTACTCAATTTGTAGGAAGCTCAGGTCATGATTTGTGCATTAACAATGAATTAATTGATAGAGTATATAAATATGTAAATTTCATTTACACAAACTTGGATAAAATTGGGCAGTAAATTATAAATCCAAAATCTAGAAGGTGTTTATAAAGATTAAGGTAATTTGCCATTTTCTTCAGAATTGGCAGCACTAGCTAAAGCAAGATCAATATTAATTAAGAAACCTAGTGAGAAGAATAATAAATTACTGAAATTGGATGGTTAACAGAACTTGTTATGTAATTCAGAAGTTAGAACTGTGGAATTGGAAGTGGAAGGAATTTTAGAAACCATCTGCTCTGATCCTCATATTTTAAGGTGGAAATAAGAATATTTAATTTTGAGATGCTGAAAGGCTGTTTCAAGATCATTCCACTGGTTGGTAAGGACAGAATTAGAACATGGGTTTACTGTCCCAACCATATCCATCTGAGACAGGAATTCTTTATGGAGGCCCATGAGCTTCGGGAATCTCTGAATACCAGAAATTATATGCATAAACTTACCTATATGTGAATATTTGAATTTTTCTGAAGAAGACATATAGTGACTTCCATCAGATCCTTAAAGCAGCCTTAACACTCAAAAAGATGAGAGCACCTTCTCTTGAATTCAAAACTTTGCTCATTATAATGGTTTCTACAACATCCTAGAAGCATTTAAATGCTTCTAAAACTTGCATCAGATTTTAAATGGGCAAACACTAGCTCTGGCCTAATTGGTTCCCAGAAGTTACCATGCTCTTTGAGGGAATTAGATTTTACCTGGACATACTATCCTTATTTTCTGAGAAAAGAGTAGTCTTCTGCTATGATCTCTATGTGTCTCCCAAAATTCATAGGCTGAACTTAATGGACAAGGTTAAAGTCTTTTTTTTTCTCTATAAATGTTAGCAACCATTGTTATCACTGGACATACAAATTTGAATTTGCTTCATTACATGCTTTTCACCAAAAAAATAAAAGTGAAGCAAAAATGTTGGGTAACCTAACATAGGTTAAATGAAGTAGATATCAGTATGAATTGAATTCACTAAGATTTCAACTCATACTGATATCTACTTCACAAATTTCAGAAATAGCAATATAAAAAGTTACCATGGCTGGTATAAAACAAACGAAAACCCCACTAATCTAACATAATCCATGTCTATGAAGGATAGACATTTTACTTTTAGAATCAGATGATGGCAAATGCCAGCAACTGCTCCTTGATTGACACTTAGGTTCTTTTGGAAGTTATAGAACTTGTGTTTGATGTACTAATATATTTCATTGTACTTATCCTGTGGCCTAAAATACAACTGCAAAAATAGCATGTAATACATGATTAAGGAGTAGCTTACACGGGGGGAGTATATTCCTTATTATGTACAAATGGGTAGGAGTTACCAACATTTAACATTCAGATGAATGATTTATATAGCACATTTCAGGTATAAAAATTACAAATTATGGTGATTCTTTGCTCTGCATTTATATTCTAACATGGCAACCAGTGAACTCATCTATAAATTGCATGGAAATTCTGATTTATAAAACACTGCTCCTCAGGGCTTCCCTCCATTCATTTTTCCTTTTGCTTTCTGGTTTCTCTAACACTTTGCAGAGGATCAAAGCAGCATTCATACAGCGTATCAATGAATGTCAGTGGTTTGCATCTGTAGATGTAGAGTAATGGCATCTTGTTAAAAAAAGGTGTGTCCTCAGGAAAGGTGCTGAAAAGACATGGAAATAAACTGTGTCTTTTTATGGATCCAATTGTGTTTTGAACAGACAAAATGCCCTACATCTTTTGATTCTTGATAGCTGTATTGATGCTGGGTGATTTTAACTTCAGAAATCAAAAAATAGAAAGGAGACATTATAAGACCTATGTGAATATTGGCCTACCTTGCTAGGTTGGGGAAGTTTTTCTGGATAATATCCCGAAGAGTGTTTTCCAGCTTGGATTCATTCTGTCTGTCACATTCAGGTATGCCTATCAAACGTAGATTAGGTCTTTTCACATAATCCCATATTTCTTGGAGACTTGGTTCTTCTCCTTTTACTCTTTTCTCTCTAATCTTGCCTTCTTGTTTTATTTCATTGAGTTTATAATCTTGCCTTCTTGTTTTATTTCATTGAGTTTATCTTCGACCTCTGATATCCTTTCTCCTGCATGGTCAATTTGGTTATTGAAACTTGTGTATGTTTCTCGAAGTTCTCATGCTGTGTTTTTTCAGCTCCATCAATTCATTTATGTTCCTCTCTAAGCTGTTTATTCTTGTTAGCATTTCATCAAACCTTTTCTCAAGGTACTTAGTTTCTTTGCATTGGGTTAGAACATGTTCTTTTAGCTCAGAGATGTTTCTTATTATCCACATTCTGAAGCCTGTTCCTGTCAATTCATCAGACTTATTTTCCATCCAGCCTTCTTCCCTTACTGGTGAGGAGCTGTGATCCCTTGGAGGAGGAGAGGTATTCTGGTTTTGGGTGTTTCATCCTTTTTGAGCTGGCTTCTTCCCATCTTTGTGGATTTATCTCTCTGTGGTCTTTGTGGTTGATGACTTTCAGATGGGGTCTCTGAGTGGATGTCCTGTTTGTTGATGATGAAGTTATTTCTTTCTGTTTCTTAGTTTTCCTTCTAACAGTCAGGCTCCTCTGCTTTAGGACTGCTGGATGTCCACTCCAGACCCTGCTTGCCTGGGGCTCACCTGCAGCAGCTGCAGAACAGTAAGAGTTGCTGCCAGTTTCTTCTTCTGCTGTCTTTGTCCCAGAAGGATACCTGCCAGATATCAGTCTGAGTTCTCCTTTGTGAGGTGACTCTTTGGATATACAGGGGTTGGGATGCTGCTTGAGGAGACAGTCTGTCCTTTATAGGAGCTCAAATGCTGAGCTGTGAGCTCCATTCTTCCTTTCAGAGCCGCTAGACAGGTACTTTTAAGTCTGCTTCAGTAGAACTCATAAACGCCTTTTTTTCCCCCAGGCGCTCTGTCCCAGGAAGGTTGGGCTTTATTTATAAGTTTCTGACATAATGACGCCTTTTCTCAGGGCTGCCCTGCCCAGTGAGGAGGCAGCCTAGTCACAGTCTGCCAGCAGAGGCATTGGTGACTGCTGTGGGCTCTGCCCAGCTGCCCTGTGAACTTCCCTGCACTCCTGTTTACAGGGGTATGGTTAGAAATGCCTTGGCAATGGTGGCCCGCCTCTGTCATGGTGGACTCTCTCTGTGATGGCAGACTGCCTTGGCAATGGCGGACTGCCTCGGTAGCGGCGGACTGCCTCGGTAGCGGCGGACTGCCTCGGTAGCCGCGGACAGCCTCGGTAGCGGAGGACTGCCTCGGTAATGGCGGACTGCCACGGTAGCGGCGGACTGCCTCGGTAACGGCGGACTGCCTCGGTAGCCGCTGACTACCTCAGTAATGGTGAATGCTCCTCCCCCACAGAGCTGGACTGTCCCGGGTTCCGCTGTGCTTGCTGTGAAACTCTCAATCTAGAGCTTTCAGATTGCTGGTTTTTCTGGAGGTGGGACTGGCCGTGCCTGATCACCTGGCTCCCTGCCTCAGACCCCTTTTTTTTCACTTGAATGGGTGACTGTCTACCAGGCGTTCCAGTCGCCAGTGGAAAAGGCGCCCGGATTTGTGTGAAATTTTGTGCAGAGAGCTGCGGTGCCGGCTGAAGCAGCTGCGCTCGAGGCGCTTTTCTGCCCGGGAATCTCCTGGCCTGGGTCACTATATTCCGTTTTTTACCTGTTGAATGGGTGATTCTCTCTCAGGCACTCCAGTCACCAGCCGAAAGGGCGCCCTGCCTGTGTAAGTGTTTTATGTGGAGACCTGCGTGCTGGAAACGGCTGTGCTGGAGACCAGTGGTGCTCCTTTGCCCGGGAATCTCCTGGTCTGTGGGCAATAAAAACCCGTCCGGAAATGTGGCGACCACTCCCCTTCCGCACTCTCGCTGGGAGCTGCAAACCAGAGTGGCTCCTACTTGGACATCTTGGATCCCCCGCAAGGTACTTTTTAAAGTTCCCTCTATTCTCTGAACTTAACTTTTTGGATAAATACAACCCTCTAGATAAAGCAAACATCTTCAGAGCAATGAATCGGTTTCCACAGGAATCAGGGCTCTCAGGACGGAGTCATATGGAGAGAGAGTTGTGGGAACAGCCCTTTAAGAGGAAATTGCTAGCTTTTTTCTGATTAGTCAGAAGCTTAATAGAGGAAATAGGATTTCAGAAGTTGTTTGAATGATGGAAACAAGAGAACTTGACTAAGTGGGCCATGTGGAGCATACCAGGTGTGAGGTTCAACTCAGGAGAAGATGAGGAGAGGGAAAGCACGATAACATGTTAAATGTAGTAAGAAATGCAACGAGGAGCTGAAGGGTTGTAGGGGCATTGTGTAAGTGAAACAGCATGGTGTGTGTTCTTTGCCACTCATATGAAACTCCTCTCTATGCCAAATGCAATTTTAGTGTAACTGCTAAACCCAGTCAGGCACAGTTCCTTAGCAGATTCTCCCTATTCCTAAAGGACTCTAACTCCATTACTATCAAAGCTACATCCACAGTAATTTTTCAGGACACTTGAGAACTAGTTAGTATATTGAGGTACTCCAAGAAATAAAGTGGTGGTGGGGGGGCAGATTTTCTTTTATTCAGTAATTCAGCACCTGAATGAAAAAATAGCATACATTTATTGAGAAACACATTCATCAACTATGCTAGAGACATGAGAACCAATGAAACAAATTTCTTCCTCTTCACTCTGGGGGATAACAGAGGTAGCAATAGGCTTTGTCTGCACAGACCTACATGCAGGGTGGCAAGCAGACCTGGAGGACAGATACTCAGAGGGAGTAGGAGGTAGTATTTTAGCAGATCCTTGGAGAGTCAATGCCAATTATCTAAGAAGCAAAGAAACAATAAAGAAGAGGCGAATATGGAAAGATTGAAACAATTTTTTAAAAGCTATAGTTAACATATGGCCAACACATGGCTGTCAAAATGAGAGACAGTGGCAAATCTAAAAACACTGGTTTTAAGGCTGGAAACATGAGATTATGACGTGATGCATGTTTGGTGAAGCTGAGCAGAGTGGTGGGATATTGAATGAAGATGAAAAGCTCTGCCTTAGCTGCTGCAGTGTTTGATAACTAGTAAGCTAGATGGCTCATCACTATGTCTCAGATATTGTTAAAGTAATAGTTAGGGGTTATGATTGTCTTCCAGCATGAATCTAGCTTAAAATAGAAGCGTGCTTGGAGCTAAATATGAAAGCTCATCACAACCATATGAGATGAAAACAGAAATTCCTATGACTGTTGATGGCCATGGATGACAGAGATGATATTTATTACCACAGACAGCTAAATCTCTATGTATATCAGAGGGGAAACAAGCAAAAACTTTTGAGAAGCAAATGTACCGACAGCAAATGCCTATGTAGAAAACATGGTGGTCAGGAGAAGCGGTCTTCACACAGGCAGCCTCCTTTGGGATGGGTTTGGCAGTGCCACCTCCCTATTTCTAATTTCCACTCTTGTGGTGTTCTTAACAAGAGTCTCTCCATATTTCTCAAGAGTTTAGTACTTTGGAAACATTACTTATGGGTATTTTCCATAATCCGAAATCTCAATGATTTTTCAAACTCTTTCACTTTTCCTTACTTGCAGAAACTGGTTTAGAAATATTAGCCATTGATAATTCAAGAATCTATAGAGAACCATGTTTAGTTGGAAAAAAAGTAATTGGCTTTGGGAGCATAGATTCAGGACAACTTAAATCCATGTTTCCAGGTTGCAGCCCTTAAGCTTGACCCCAGTAAACTCTCCATGTTTATATATTTAAAAAATGTAACTAACCTGGACTGATGCTAATGTTAGTTATTCAATACTAGATAGGAAAAGAATTTTAAAAGTTGTCATGTTAGCCTCTCTCATGGTCCATGCACAGATTCTGGGATACCCGGATATGGCTCATCCTGGGCTCAGGAACTGTGCACTGATTTTTTTTTTTTTTTTTTTTTTTTTTTTTTTTTTTGAGACAGAGTCTTGCTCTGTCACCAGGCTGGAGTGCAGTGGTGCGTTCTTGGCTCACTGCAACCTCCGACTCCCTGGTTCAAGTGATTTTCCTGCCTCAGCCTCCTGAGTAGCTGGGATTACAGGCTTGTGCCACCATACCCAGCTAATTTTTGTAAGGTTTCACCATGTTGGGTAGGATGGTCTTGATCTCCTGACCTTGTGATCCACCCATCTCGGCCCCACAAAGTGCTGAAATTACAGGCGTGAGCCATCATGCCCGGCCGCACTGTCTTTCTAACCTCTCTCAATCCTGCCTGATAGAGGAGCACCTCAGAACTTTTAAAGAAAAGATTTCTAGGGAAATCCGTGAAGAGTGCATGATATCAGAGAGTGGAAGCATTTATTGATTTTTATGTTTCTGTTGGTAAGAGGTTCATGTATATGATGATACACTCACACAGTACCTTAGCATGTATAAAGGCTTCTGGCTGTTCAAAATTCCTCACTGTTTTATTTATTTATTATTATTTTTTTAAACAAGGCTATCACCCTTCAAATTTGAAGAATTTCTTACAAACGCTTCTTTTATTTCTTGATCAAAAATGTTATCAGCTGAGTGCCTTTGATTTTATCTGATATGGGTCTGTCAGATTAAATAATTCATACTAACTTGTGAATGACTAATAGGAAAGATCTGCCAAAAGATATCTGCTCCTTAAAAATTGATTTTGTTAACCAGATCAAGCCTGTAACTGGCAAAATATATATGGTATTTTCCTTTCTTTGAGGGGAAGAGTGCTTAGGGTGCTTTAGATAAGACTTGATTTCTTAGGCTATTATCTCTAAAGCTATTTATTTCCCCTTTTTCTTAATTAATCTAGCAGGAAATAAAGTTTATACAGTAAATGTTGTTTAGCAGAAATAATTGCATATGTACTTTTACCTCCTTTTTATAAGCAATAATTAATGTAAAGGAATTTTTGAAAAAAATAATTCTCATCATTTAAAGTTGATGATTTTTAATTACATGATTTTTCTTCTAGTCTTTGCTGATAGTCATAGACACAACCTGATGTAGTTACAACCATAACACAGTTTGAGTTATGCTTGAGAATCCAGTGCTGTAATGCCTATAAGATGTAATACACTGTTAATAGATGTGATAGCTGGTCTATGTCAAATGGTAGGCACATGGATAAATACCTGCATTTTAAAATTTAGTCCTCACAATCGCACTGCCGAGTAAATGGAATCTTTGTCCTCATTTTCTGTTCAGGAGACTGAAGTGCAGTGAGGTTAAGTCATTTGCCCAAGCTTACACAGCAGATAAGATGTGAAGCCAGGCAGCTTGAAGCCAAAGCTTCCTAATGCTTTTTGTGGTTATTAATAAACGAACTCTGATTTTCCACAACAGTATGGGTCCTGGGCACAATCTCGAAGCTTTAGTTATTAGGCGAAAAAGGTATCTGTTGCTATGTTTTTCTTTTTCTTTTCTTTCTTTCTTCTTCTTCTTTTTTTTTTTTTTTTTTTTGAGATGGAGTCTCACTCTGTCACCCAGGCTGGAGTGCAGTGATGAGATTTCGGCTCACCACAACCTCCACCTCGCAGGTTCAGGTTTTCCTGCCTCAGCCTCCCAAGTAGCTGGGATTACAGGTGTGCGCCACCACGCCTGGCTAATTTTTGTACTTTTAGTAGAGACGGGGTTTCAGTGTCTTGGTCAGGCTGGTCTAAGAACTTAACCTGATGATCCACCTGCCTCGGCCTCCCCAAGTGCTGGGATTATAGGTGTGAGCCACAGCGCCCCTCCCTGTTGCTATCTTAATTTGCCGTTATTACTAATGAACTTTTTTTCTTATTTGTGCATGAATTCTGCTTTTCTATTTCTGTAAATTGTAGGTTTGCAAACAGTTTAAGTAACAAATAAAACCTCTGGAAAGATTAGCATGGTTTTATGCAATGTCCCTATATGGATAAGAGAGTTTGTCACTTTATTCCCTCTTCATGGTTCTGTTCCATGGACAGAAATGAGAACATTCTACATGAGAGAATTGCAGTCTTATAGTCTAGTGTGTCCACAGTGGTTTAAATAGCTACACATTTAGCATGAAGAGAGATAGAGAAAGACAAAATATGTGATTTAATTACAATTGCTGCAATGAATTCCGAGTTGATCCTGCTTCTCCCACTTGAGCTGACCACAATTTTAAGCTTGGCATCGCCTGAAAGCTTGAGGAATGTATTTGCAGTAATTGCCAGGCTACTTCATTGTTCCTCTGTATACATAAACACGAGGCTGTGATCAGAGTGGTCATGCTTGAGCTGTTATCTGAAATTCACTTTTGCTATAAGGATTGACTAATCTGGTTCCTACTGACAGCGGTTTCCATTTACTGTATTAGCTTTCTCTCACTTCAGTGCCACACAACTCCAGATAGGAGAGGAAAGCAAAAATTGTTAAAAGTAATAGACGTGTTAGTCATCACTTATCAAGCAGCGCAAACATCCAGTGTCATTGAAATCACTGTCCTTGATTTTCTTCAAGGGAAAAGAGAAGTTAAACAATATCCAGTGGACGGGGGTACCACACCGCTCTGCGATCCGCATGAGTTAAATGGTGAGGCTGCCAATGAATGATTCAGTGGGAAATAGTGGGTGCGAGGAACTCTTGCAACAGCTCCTCTCCCTCCCCCGTGCTCTGCTGCTTCTGCATAGCTTGGCCTTTCTACCCCTCACCCCTGCCCTGTCATTATCTGCAGATGTTATCTGCCCAGCAGATGTTGTAACCTACAAGATCCCTTCATTCTCACCCTGCTGGCCTCAGCCTCCCCCACCCACTTCTGCAACTGGGTCTCAGGTCTCTTTCAAAGGGAGCACTGAGGCAGGAGAGATGGATTAAAATGCAAAACCTGGCCTGTATTTTATTTAACATGAGGCATGCACCGCAATTTTTTGCAACCACTATTTGATGATAGTTATTTCAACACAGTATAAA